AGGCCCCAGGCTCAAAACTAGAGTGAGTTAAATACAACTCACATGGCAGTTAATGTGTTAAATAGGACACAAAATAATATAAAAGATTAGTTTACAGGACTAAATTAAGAATTTCTGTTGATCAAAACAGACCATAAGGCAGTGAAAAGACAGTCCAAAAACTGGTTCAAAAACAAATGAAATACCACCGCACCTTCCACAATGGCTAAAATTAAAAAGAATACCAACACCATGGATTAGAGAGAATGTGGAGCAACTGAAACTCCCACACATTTCTGGTGTAGTAAACTAATACAATCACTTCGGGAGAATGCTTAGCAGTACCTACAAAAGCTAATCGATTTTATTATCATCCCAATATTCCATTTCTGGGTATACACACAACAGAAATAAAAACTTATATCTAAGAAAAGGTATGTACAAGAATATTCATAGTAGCTTTATTTACAATATCCAAGAATCGGAAACAACTCAAATGTCCATCAGTAATAAAATGGGTAAATAAATTGTGTGTGTGTGTATTTTTATGTATATAAAAGAATTACTACACAATAATTAAAAAATGAACTACTCAACTTGCAACATGAATAAATCTTACAGATATAATGTTAAATAAAAGACATCACAGCCCCAAAACAGAGCACACACTCTATGACTCTATTTATGTGAAATTTAAACAGCAGGAAAAACGGGAGACAGTAGTTGAACAGTGGTTTACCTTGAGCGGGGTTACTGACTAAGAGGGGAAAGAGGATGCCTTCTGAGGTGCCAGAAATGTTATATCTTGTTCTGGGTGATAGTTAATGAGCATACACAAACACAAAAATTCAATGAATTGTACACTTTAGAGTTGTGTACTGTATGTTATATCTCCATTTAAAAAGAAAGCTTATTTGATCTTTATATTATTGTAAATATTGAGAATCAACATTTTAAGACACATTTCATAATTATGTACATTTTCCAAATGACAAAGTTAAACTATAAAGAAAAATTTCACATATAATAGTATTTAGGTTACTGAAAACATATTTCATATATAAGAACCTCTTTTTTTAAATGTATAGTGCTATACAGAGTCTTCATTTTTCCTGTAACTTCTTACTTTTTACCCCTTTAGTAGTATAGGCGCTCCGACTTTACTAGAGGAAATGAAAAGGTTGTACCCTAAAAATTCCAAAAGCTGTTTCTATGATTTCATTCCACTGCCAACTTTAGTTTTACTGTTTCAACTATCTTCCACTTAGAGTATTCCAATCTTCTGTACCGTAGCTTCTTAGAAGGTTTTCAAAAAATAAAAACAAAAACCAACCAACCAAAAAAAAAATCTCATATTTTTAAAGTAATTTCCTCATTCTATATATAGACTCCTTTTGCTCTATCGAAATACATATGTTCCAGTAATTGACAATAAGTGGAAATTAAAGTTTTTAAGTCAATAAAATTATCCAAGATAAATTTAAGAGTACAGATAACATTAGTTTAAAACAATTTCAAATCATAATTTATTTTACATGCTTTTATTTTTAAAAAATAAATTTTAAGTATTTTAGCTGAAAAATATTTTTTTGTTTATTTATCCTAGCAGAACAATCTGTAAAGAATAATGTTAAACTCAAACTATTCAACTAGAACAGCACTGCTCAATCTTTAATGAATATCCTGGGAATCCTGTTAAAATACATATTCTGAATCAGTAGGTCCGGAATGGGGACTGAAAAATTTGCATGTCTAATAAATTTCCAAGTGATGCCTAAGCTGCTTATCTATATATTGCACTTTGATTAATAAAAAAAGATTCTACAACAGTAACGACATCCTATTAATAGAATTTAAATTACAATTTTATGTAAAGAATTATTTAGGGTTATTTTTCCAAGAGGACTGGGCAAATCAATCCTGACTACTATTAATTTGATATGGGTTTCATTTATGACAGATTATATCCTTTTAAATTAGAATTGTACTATTACTATAGAACATGTCTAGCCTAAATTGATATAGCACTGTGTCTTTTTGCAGTATACACACATATTCTCTTTAAATTTCACTAGGTTTGCAGTTAGAATGTTTCCTGAGAGCTTGATAAAAAGGGAGTATGCATACTTGAATACTCAAGTGCTTCAAATTGCTTTGTTAGGAAAAAGGTACATTTTTCAATAAAATTATGTCCTTGAATTTTCTTTTTTCATACTAGATAAAGAATTAGCTCCCAAATATGTCTCTCTAAAAGTACAAAAGCAATCATATTAAAAAAAAAAAGTCCCTCTCTGGCTATACCATTATTTTAAAAGCTATTGTTCCTAACCATTTTACTATCCACTTAAATTCTTTATTAACAAAAATTTCCACTTGGGTGCTTTGCTAATGAAGAACATTCTGCAATAAGTGTTGTTTTCTTCATAAGGCTAGAATCTTTTCAGAGGAAGTGAAATGGCTTTCAAGAAGTAGAATAAGGGAAAAGTATAATTAATATAAAATATAGAACACTACAATTTGATGAAAGGAGAACATGCTGCAAAAAACTGGAAATGGCTGTAGATATAAGTAACATATAAATTGTAAAGAGTATCATAATATAATCTTAATTTAATGTTAAAATATCTCTAAATGTAGCCCAATTCATATATGAAAAAAACACTGAATGTACAAATATTAATAACAACAAAAACAACGATGATGATCGGAATCCATTCACTGCTATAAACTCACAGAAGATACAGTATTGATTGGTATTTAATATATTCAAATTAAAATTACTTTCTTCCCTGTTTTCACCCTGTTCTGCTCCAAGTTTTAACGGGAAGATGTCATCCTTAAAAGCTGCCTTTTATTATTCATTACAGATGACCCTTGAAAACATGAGTTTGAACCACGCGGGTCCATTTATACATGGATTTTCTTCCACCTCTACCACCCTGAGACACCAAGACCAACCCCTCCTCTTCCTCCTCCTCCTCCTCCTCAGCCTAAAAATGTGCAGATGACAAAGATGAAGACCTTTATGATAATCCACTTCCACTTAATGAATAATAAGTATATTCTCTCCCTTATGAATTTTTAATTAAATTTTTCTCTAGTTTACTTTATTGTAAGAATACAGCAAATAATACATACAACATACAAAATACATTAATCGACTGTTTACGTGAACAGCAAGTATTCTGGTCAATATTAGGCTATTAATAGTTAAGTTTTGGGGGAGTCAAAAGTTATATAAGGATTTCGAGTGTAGGGGTCAGCATCCCCAACCTTCATGTTGTTCAAGGGTCAACTGTATATTTTCCTATTTTTTTGCAACTTTCATTTTAACTTTTACATGACTAATAAAACTTAGAGAAATTCAGTATTTTGGGGGAAAATAAAACAAAATAAATGGATAATCACTTGGGAAATAAGATCCTGACTAAACTTCAGATAGATTAAAAATCTGATGGAAAAGGAAAACCATAGAAACATCTAAGAATATACATCTAAATGAACTTAATACATAATTCATCATTTTCCCTATAATAGATGCTAACTTTATCATATATTAAACCCTAAATGTATTTTCTTGTTAAACTTTAGATTTTACTATGCAAAAATTAAAAGTTGATGAGTCAGAAAATACTATAGGCAAATTTAAAAGGCAAATAATGACTTGCAGAAAATGTCTGTGATATATATGACACAGTTAATATTCTTAATGTATAAAGTACATCAGAAATTAACAAGACACACTGCAGTAGGAAAATGGCAAAAGACTTGAATAAGCAATTCACAAACAGCCAATAAACGTATCTAAAGATATTCATTCTCTCTAGAATCACAGAAATCAAATGAGAAACACAGTAATATCACTTTTTGTTCATCATATTGGCAAAGATTTTTTAATCTTATTGAATAATTTTAGTCCTGTGGTGAGTACAGTTGCTTCTCCACTAAAGGAGAAGCAACCTGAGGCCAATAGACCTTTCATCCCTGTACTCTCATCAGCTAGCACATATTTGTTCATGCTCAATGTTTGTATCATGCGTGAATGATTCCAGAAGAATTCTGTTTCAGTAAGAACTCACATAAACAAACACGAACAGAGCTATTAGTAAACTTTTGGTGCTGAAATACACAAAGCCAGAAAAAATATTAGATAGATACTCCAGCTTCACGAATTCACGCTGCTTTTCCAGAAGAATTTGAGTCGTGCATAGGGTCAGGAAGTCAACTCCTACACAAGCTCTGAGCTTAGGAAAGTAAAGATTGCCCAGTTACTGCAGATTGAATTGCTACTGACTATTTTATACTATATTACAAAACCTATGCCTAATATATGCCTAATATAGATAGCCTGTTAGATGAAGTAGTACAATAACAAAGCCAGCATGGTGTTTATGATATACTCTTGAAAAACTAGTGTACTTAATAATGAAACAAAAATAAAGAAGGATGTGATCATTGTAAACCCATTCCTTAAGGTTCTGCCACAATACACTGCTCAATATAAAATTTTAGATCTTCTAGGACCCTTTCAAGTTTTTGATGCTTGTTTTTTGTGGGGTGATTGTCTTATTTGTTTGTTTTATAAATATAGACTATATAACTCAGAGGAGCATAAACTTCATAAGGACAAAGCTGTAACAACGGGGGTAAAAATATAAGCTGTTTGGAAAAACCTTTTGTAAGAGTTCCAGTTTTCCAATCTGTATGTTATCTTACCCCTAAATATAGTAAGTCTGCTTTAGTTATACACTTTTGGTTACAGAAAAATAATAGTGAAATTAGGGCTTGAGATTCTATCTCCAATTATGACTCAGTGTTATACTGTTTCAGGAGTATACATTATACACTTAGGTTCAGTGAGTCATCTCTAAATGAAGTTTGTTGTTCATAGGAAGAACTCAAAAGAACATAGTATGTAACGGGAAAAAAATCATCAACCAATGTAAAAACATTAAAACCACATCTTTAAGTGTAAAAGATTTCCATTCACATAGTTTAAGAATCATATTTTTCAAACATACCTTGTCCATTAATTTACTTGTATGAAGACTCAAGCTATTGAAGAATATTTTTTTGCTTAGCAAATGCATTTCTTCAATGGTAGTCAATAATGTAGTTGCACTATTTCCAACAATGCCACTAAAAGCAAAGAATATTTCAGGTTGCAAAAAATAGAAGCTGAAAACAATTCAATTTTTTAACTGAGTATAATGCTTTAAGAAGATCTAGATTTGAATATATGTTTTTATTTAGAATACAACTTGTGAATTAAAAATAATTACTCTAGTTTCATATAAAATGTCAGAATTTTTTCTTTTGAGTTAGGTAATTGAAAAATGTTTTTTAATATTTTATAATCTCTTTTAGCAAAAGTGTGGGTTAGAATAGACATTTGTAATACGTAAACCCACATCTCTATTTTTCTTCTATTATAGTCAATGTATGTCTTGCTTATCTTATCCAAGAAGATCTCATTTTAAGAAAAGCATTCCATCAATAACTGTATTGCTAAAATATTTAAATTGTATAATTACTGAGTTCTTTTAATTAAAACTATAGCAATAACATACCTAGAAATTATAGTTTCCCAATTGTATACAGCTGCCTAAATAGCAGTATAGACTAATTATGAAATGTCTGATATAATATTTTAAAATTACTGATTCCATTAGCACATTCCACAATCCTCAATTTGCTATTACTGTACAAGGATATTTCTTAGACCCCTTCAAGGGGATTTGCTATTTTTGCCAAGATCTAAGACAAGTATATATATGAAACAATTTCTAATTTTATTCTCCTAATATATATATTGAATGTGATTTTCAAATTTTCTTGGGGGAAAAGTTTTTTGTGGATGTGAAAATATGCTTTAATCCAGCAGGAAATTATAATTTCTAAAGGCACAATAACACCTTACTATGCTTTAAAAAATTTAGATTGCTGAAGACAAATATAATGGTATCAGTTAATACTGACGGTGAGCTAAAAATAAGCAAATTAACTTGTAAATGATATACCACGTATGATATATAATCAAAGCAAATACTACTACTATCTATTTCAGTTCCTTCTCAAACTAAAATAAATTGGATGATTCTTATATAGCTCATGGAAACAAAGCAAATTGTTAGTAAAAAAAGTGAATAAAACAAACAGTAAAATACAAGCAAATTACTTAACAGGTAGCCATAATACTTGTATTTAAAAGAAACAAAAAGTATTTCAGTTAAAAATATTAATAAGCCAAACATCAAAATAAATTGGAAGGAATTCCTACACAAGCTTTTGCCTGCAATAAAAACAAGTACTCCTCTGAAGTATACATCATGCAACAGTGGAAGTAAATTAGATTAATGCAAACAGAAACTGATAATTCAATAAAATTGGAGAGGTGTCAAGACATATTTACATTAATTTTTTAAAATCTGGAGTTATCATCTATACTTTGTAGTTACTTATGTCTAGAATTTACTAATATTTATCGAGCATTCACTAGGTACTAGTAACTGGCCCAGATACTTATAGATGCTTCTTTTGGTATTTCATTCCATATTTCTACCCAACATGCTTATACTCCTATTACTTGGCTTTTCAGGTTTAGATATTATATACAAATTCCCTGATATAGCAGGTGAGAGTTAAAATCTCTTACACAATTCTCCTTCCCTACCACAATACACCCAAACCACCTTTCCCAGGCTTCATGACATAGTTATGATCACAGGGTTCTGGTAAATAACCATTCAATGTTAACCATTCAACGTCTACCGTTACAAGCATGTAAATAACTATTCAGACGTGACCAAAGAATCAGGGACATCTAAAACAAGGGAATGGGCAGGCTGGTGAAGAAGAGAACTCTAATGTGACAGCCACGCAGCAGGCAATAGGCCTGGAAAGCAACCCTTCTAAATTGGAGGAAAACGAGGGCTCTAAGAAAAATATCAGAAGGCGGCAGGAGAGAGAAGGATTATGTGAGGTGTTTGGCCATATGGTGAGACAATGCCCTTAATGGCTTGGATCTGAAACAGTGATAAGGGCATACAAAAGAAAGCAAGTACAAAAACAAAGCAATTATTAACTCCAGGGAGAAAAGTTTTATAGGAAAGGATGTGTAATCCAAGTTGCTCAATTTCCTGTTTCCTGGATTCCATATCTCCTTTTTTTTTTTTTTTTTTTTGAGTTTTAATCTATAGGAGGTAAATTTTCTGAGATATTCTGTGTTTCTTGTTCTTTCCCCCCAACTTCACTGGCTATTCCTTCCCAGTTTTCTCTGTCGTTTCCCTTGTCTTGACCTCTAAATATTGGAGCTCCCCAGAACTCGGTCCTAGGCCCTATTCTTTATCTACATTTACTCCTTAAGTGATCTTACCTGGCCCCTTGTTTCGAATATCACCTATATGCTGAAAACTACCAAATATATAGTTTCAGTTCTGATTCCTCTCTGCATTATCTGCTCACTCAAAATCTCCTACTGTATGTTCACAGGTACATCAAGTCTGACATGGCCAAAGCAGGACTGAATTCTTCACTACCCACCGGCCCTACCAACCTGCTCCTCATCAGTATTCTGTATCTCAGCAAACAATACCACTCACCCAGCTGTTCAAACCAAAAGCCAAAAATTCATCCTTGACTCCTCACATCTTACCCTGTTTAGTCCATTTTTATGTTCTATTGGCTATATCACAAATTATCTTCAGAATTAGCTACTCTTCATCACCTCTAAGACTATCGCCCTCGTCTAACTCATCATCTCTACCTTTCTGATTTCATCTCCCTCTACTCCTTCGAACACACTACCCTCCAACCACAAGTCTTCCTTCTGGTTCTCCAAAATGCAAACTTTTCCTAGCCTCGGGACCAGAGTATATCTCTGCCTAGAACACTCTTCTCCAAGATCCTTTCATGCCCGAATCCTTCACATTATTCAGGTCTCTGTTTAAGTATCAGCTCGACTGAAAGACCTTCAAAAATAATCACGCACGCCTACTCAACACATGGCCACTCCCTAGACTATTTCCTTTCTCTTCAGTCCTTTATCACTATCTAAAATTATTACTTGATACTTGCTTAATTGTTAGATTCCCCTATTGGAATGTAAGTGTAAGCTCTGTTTTGTTCATTGCTGTTTCTTTAGCACCTAGAAGAGTAACAGGTATATACTCAACTTTTTAATTGACTAAATGAGGAAATACATGAACAAGTAGAAAAAGTACATGTAAAAAATGTATCAAAAGATTTTAACTGTCATGCTTAATATCATCTTCAAAGACAGAAAAATTATAATTCTCAGAGCCTAAAAAACCTATTATCTTCAAAATCCAAATGATTTTATTTCTATCACTTTCTACATTTCTACAGTTTCCAGCATTAGAAACTGAGTTATTATTATCTTTAACAATAAATTTAAAGATCATGAACATTATCATCATGGACATTACTAAACAATTTAGAAAATTATTTTACCAGCATGTTTTTATATCACAGCATTTGCTACATCTAGCTGCTGTCAGCTGCCCTTGTATTTTCTAAATATGTATCATTATCTTGTTTTAGGAAGCCTATAACATTACAATTGAAACTAATTTATTGCATTTAAGTCATGAGGAATAATAAGTTTATATCTAAAATGTTAGGGGACTAATCCAGATCCTATCTCTGGTCAGTTTTGTAGCCTATGGCTTCTTAGTTTTGTTTGAAAATCTACCAATAAGATGTGAAGCCCATTTTCTTAGCTATGAGTTTTGAGTGGCTACCCTCAGTCACTAAGGGGTAGGTCATAACCTTGCCATAGTCTTTTTTGGTGCTCTGTGAATTAGTGATTCCTGAACCTATCCTGGATCTGGACTTTTAACAGTTGGCCTTCTGCTCCTGATACCAGCATACTGGATAACAAGTAATTTTAAAATAATTTTTAAATGGAAAATATGGAAACTATCAAAATATAGCTTGGAAAGACATTGTTTTAACACAACTATACATATAATATAGTCTTAT